CCCACAGTTACATGAAAACATTTAAACATTGATGGATATTTTCAAAACCACTTCACAGAGATGTTGATTCAATATGACTCATTTTTTTTTTAAGGGGCTCTCCTTTCTTAAGAGTTTTTCACATTTATTTTATACAATTATATTTTCAAGTTTTCCTTTAATGAAAGTAGGAAACATTTACATGATAGCTTGGAAAAATAGGGACTGTTAATAAGGCTTAGCTCATTATTTACACCCTCCCAAAGCGGCAATCAGTTTTTACCTGGACATTGTGAGGGAAGGTAGAGTGGTACTAACCTTTAGTGTCTCTAAACCCTTTATCCTCAGTAAGTTTAAGAAAACAACTAGAAAACTGTTTGAGGTAGTTGAGTGCTTCACCTAAGTCTATAGCCTTGAAATGCCACCCAGAGAAAATTAAGGGATTGCACAACACTTTCCTCAGCAGCTGATCTGATCACACACCTTTAAGTGCTATTCAGACTGAGGAGCCCCATCACGTGGGCTGAGTGTTACCACGTTCTTGGCATTTGGACAGGCGGGAGGAACAACAGTCCTACATAATAGAAAACTTGATCCAAAGCTGACCCCTTCACAGTGTGCCAATTGAACAGACAAGAACAAGGATGTAGAACACTAATAAAAACAAACCAGAAAATATTGATTTCAACCCAGAAACATGGTGTTTAATTTAAAAGACAGCTCTTCAGAAAATCCTTTCTTCTTTTGTCAAACAAGCATTGGACCTTGTCTATCTATGCACTCACTCAGGTGGAACAGAGACAAAGAAGTGATACTTTTGGTTTTCAAGCAAATGCTAGGGCACAGGTTGGCTGCATGGTTGTGATTTATTATTCTTTCAGAGTGCCAGTTTTAATTTCGACTGCCTGGAAAACAAAGAAAAAAAATCTTTTCTCCTCATATAATTAGCTATTTTCTCTCAAAGGCATAAAGAGAGGTCTAAGTCCATCTAATAGTTTTTAATTTAACATGAAGGTATTCTATAGGTCTAAAGTCTTACACTTTATAAAGTCAAATGACTTACATATGAGTTTTGTTTTCTAAGTTGATATACTATTTGGAATACAAATGAAAGTACAAATTGAGGTTGATTGATTTGGCCTGAAAGTACCAAATTTAAGAGTCTTCTGAGCAGAAGGATTTCTATCTTTTATTTGTTTACCCAGTTTCTACAGATAATTGTATTAAGTGATATCATTGACCAATATTAGAGAATACAAAATAAAACTAAAGTTTTCAAGTATGCATATGTAAGCTAAGGCGTAAACCTTTCATATATTCAGTGATACAGAGAAGGCATAGTCATGTCAAATAAGGATATTCAAATTAAAATTTAAGTAAAATATTACTGAGCAAGTCAAATAATATAAAGAATAAAAAATTACACATTTTAAACATATGATTGCCCACCATGGTGATGGGGTAATAAGGGGTACTGGTGTTCAGGTAACCATTTGCATTTTGCTTCTATCCTCCAGAACTCTGGGAGAATTTAAATGTATCGATTAAATTACTGCTACTTTCTAGGTAAGATAAATCTAAATATCCTGAGCAATACTAGATCAATGAACAATTTTAGTCATAAATGATTTTGCCTCAGGTGTGTAGACACGTTGCTATCTAAATAAATTCATCCACTTGTGTCTCCCTGAAAGAGAAGCCCATGTACAAAATGCATTGTTTGTAAAGTATAAAGCCAGAAAGGATCCATTTTAATTCCTATGAATATTGCTTAAATAGAAAAAATTGCATTACGAATTTAAAATTCTAGAAAAAAAACCTCACACAGATCTCTTGTCACGTACAACTTTGAAGTCTTGTCAGCACCAGTTAACTAATTTATATGAGGTGCCCTGGAGTCAATGTTCCTTTATAGTGTTATCTGTCAAATGATTCCCGCGCTGCTTTAAAGTATATGTGGGGTTAAGAATCGATCCCTGTTCTCCGAAATTGCGTGCTACACTATGCACAGTTTTCTCCTCCAAGCATGTGCAATTCTAAGTTATATTTGCCTTTGATATTTTTGTTTTTCTTTATTTAGAAGTATCATGGGGAGGAATAAAGCTACTATAACGTTAATATGCAATGTTCTGGTAAAGAAATAAGGGCCTAGAAGGAACGTGAGAGTGCACGTGTAGATATGTATGTTCGTGTCTGGGTCTGTGTGTGTCTGTGGGTATACGAACTTGCTGTGAGAAATAGGTGACTACATACGCAGGGTGGGGGATTCTAATCAGCTAAAATACTCCCTAACTTAGCACATATTTGATAACAAGCTGGAGCCATTGGAGTGTCTACATCAGGTGATTTGTCACAGGCACTCTCATTCTTTCATCTCTAGTATTATGCTTCAACCTCTTATAAAAATATGCCTGGATTCTGCAATTAGGATGTCAAAATTATATTATTATTTAGGATCTTCTGTAAGCATGTGGTACATAAATATATGGCAAAATCGATTAATTTTCTGAGATAATTGGAAAATATAGATCAATTGAGATCATATGATAAATTAACTCAAAGCTATGTATGTATGTTGAGATAGGAAAAAAAACGAAAAAAGAGCCAGAGTGAGACATACTCATATACATTTTTTTGGCACCCCCGGTATTTATCCATGTATACCTACATATATACATACCGTGCATATGTCATACATACATACACTCGCACATGCAGAGACGGAGCGAGTGACAAAAAGATGAGTAAGCAGAGATGATGGTGGAAAGGCTGCTAATCGAAAAGCAGAAAAACAGATTTTTCAGGGAGCACTAACTCCCCTGGCATAATAATCCTACTAACAGTCCAAGGATAGCATCCAGGATAACAAGAAAAAGAGGAAAATGAAGGTATCTACCTACCACAAAGAAAAAAAGAAAACAACAACTAGTTAATGTGTCTAATTTTGCGAAGACAGCGAGGTACTGCAATTGCTATGAGGCAAACCAAGGTGATATAGAAATCAGACAAAGTTAAAAATTCTGTGAATCATAAAAGCTGATTATGAGAGCTCTAGAACTTGCTTTCACTCATGAAAGCAAAGTACCCAATGGGAATATATGACTACTGATGAAATAATTTGGGGGTAAATGTGTAATATCCTAAATGCTATCTCAGGATTATGCTGGTATCAAAGTTGATAACCAGTAGGCAATTCAAGTTTCAAATATTGTTAAATATTGAAATTACATCTTCCCAGTCCTGAGTACACTTCTATCTTGGTCCCCCACTTTCCCACCAACCTGAAACCCTATGTTAGCACTAAGGGCCCTAACTTCAATGTTCCTTCCTACTTGTCTGTGCTCCATATCAATGCCTTTATTTATGTATTTATGTATTGACTTATGTATTTGTTTATTTATTTTTGTCCCCTTTCCCCATGTCAGGACTTAGGGAGATCAATTTAGTCATTTTCTATCCTACATGTATGCCTTCTTTCTTGACCTATCCAATGAGTTTTAAGAAAAAGGAAATGAGGCAGATGGGCACTCATGGGGACCACCACAAACACTGCCCTGTTGTTCCAAGCTCTGGCTACTCGGCAGGACACTCTTACAAAAGGTAGGAGGTCATGAGGACCAGAGGCCATGAGGATCAGAAGGGACAGTGGTGGTGGGTTGTGACCCCGCCCACTTTGGATCCCAATTCAACAATTCTTTATTGAATTTATTAGTATTTATCTTTCTTCAAATCTACCCCGGCATTCATGTCTGGGAAACTGACAATATTAATTTTCTTTATTAATAAGAATAGAGAGCTAAACTTTACAATGTCTTTATGATGTGCAGAAAACATTCTAAACAAACACATACACACACTAGTTTAATTTGGGCACTGAAGTTATTATCATTTCAATCATTTCGGTGAATTCAATCATAGGAAAATTGGAGGCATAGAGAGTTTATTTAAAATTCTGAATGGTAGAGACAGAATTCAACCCAAAAAGCCAGAGACAGCAGAGGTCAGTTACCATGCCAACTGCTCTCACATGGTCCAGAGGGCTTAGTTGGCCTAAACAGATGTGATAGATATCCTATGAGCTGTTCCCACACTCAGATTTGGGAAACGCTAAGTCAAACATATATATTTTTTATTTTTTTAAGAAATAACATAGGCCTCTGGTTATTTTTAAAATATTTTTATTAAAATATGTATTATTGTTGTAAATCAAGTAATCCAAAAGAGATTGTGTGCTCATAATAAATAGCCTTCATAAAATTCTTCCCCATTCCCAGTCCTGCTTTTAACTTTCTGTTCTTTTTGCTTTTTTTTGCTTTTCAATTTCAGTTGGCGATTGACTTTAAAGACCCTACAAAAAATGACTTTTACAACTTCTAAATAATATGTGATTAGCACTATTTCTTGATTTATATACTTTTGAGGATAATTATGAGCCCTAAACAACAAGAATTTAGTTTACTTGTAATATAACAGTTCTCCCTATTTCATTTTAAAGTTGATATTTACATTTTCATTCTTGTTTTGTATACCTTTTCCTTTTAAATAATACTTCTAAATTCTGTCTGTCACTTTTAGTTAGTTTTACTCACTGCCTGCCTCCACCTTTTCTTCCATTCCACTATTCTACCCACTTTCCTCCCTTTTCCCCTGCCTGAGACACACAGCTATACTTTTATATCATTAAAACTAATATTTACATTTTCTTCTTTTCTTTTTCAGCTGAGCCATCCTGCTACCTATTGGCAGTTCAGCTGGGGCTGAGACTTGAACAGCTATTGCTCAGAGCTCACATTCTTGAGTGAACTCTTAACCAACTGAGCCACTCGGCTGGCCCTCACATTTTCTTCAGAATACACAACCAGTGTCTTCTATCAGAAGACTATTGGAAAATCTGTGATATCATGATGTTATGTGAGACTCACTATTAGACACATGGATCACACATTTTATAAGTAGCTTTCTATTTAGGTGCATATTCTTTCAAGAAGTAAACAATGTTCCAGGACCTCAGTCTACAGTACCTGTAACTTTCAGCTTCTCAGCCCCAATGGTGATCTCATCTTCATCTGCAGAAAACAGCACCCTGCCATCTTCACTCGCTCTCACTTCAAATCTTTTACACTGAGCTTCCACAGCATCAGCCCCTATGGACAGAGGAAAGGTTTCAAAAGTGAAACTGGTGGGCCGGCCGAGTGGCGCGATGGTTAAGAACTCGCTTGGGATGCCAGAGGGCCCTGGTTCGGATCCCACATATGAGGGCCAGTGACACTGCCCTCTACAGCTAAGATGCTGAACAACAGCTCAACCTGGAGCTGGGCTGCCATGAGTCGCCGTCCGGCATAGGCTGCAGTGGGTTGCCATGGGCTACCGTGTGTAGCCAGCAGCCAGCGTGAGCGGCCAGCAGCTGCAGTGAGCGGCCATCCAGAAGCCGGCGACTGATCTGCCTCGCCCGGGAAGAGCGCAATGATGGTGCCAACGTGGGCCAGTGAAGCAACATCCTCCACAACTAGATTGAAGAACAAAACGACAGCAACTTGTCTGTTCCCCTTCCCCCAATTCCCCAGCACTGTTCCCATCCCCCCAATTCCCCAATAAAAAAAAATCTAAAAAAAAAAAATGAAACTGGTAGGCAGAAAATCATTGACATGCATTTATTAAAAGAAAGACAAGAGAAACACATGTATTATTTAGTTCATTTATGTCTGCAGCATGTTTTACACCTGGATTTATATTTTTAATTATTATAGTTTCCAGGAGGATGTCTGATTTGGTAGAATATTACTGGGCTGGGATGGTTGGACATACATCTAATACATAAATGCCTGACATAGTCCTAATGAGGTTTGTGGGTTTAGCCAGTTAAAAAGTCTGCATATACACAGTGAGAGACGACGTCGGCTTTATTCTAGGTTGCAGCCTCAACACTTGGCGTTATACGTGACACCTGCTCAATAAATACTCAGGGATTGAATGACTCATGTTTTCTCTCTGCAAGCAGAAAATAGTGCCCATCACAAGGTACTTGAAAAGCATTATTCAGTTGTGAATCTTTAGTTACTCTACATTTCAGTCTTAAATTAGAATTTGTTCATCCTTTACTATTACTGAATATGAATCCATTTTACAATCTTGTAAATATACACATATATTATACATATAATATATGCATTTATTGTTTTTAATGCACCCCAAAGTATATTCTAATCAATAATTTTCTTGATACATTAAAATACAGTATTATATAAATATAATTACATCATAAAATTGGAAATATATTTGCAATTTATCAGACAATTCTGCATATTAATCTACTCACAAATCGCAAAGTCATGTCCCATATTTGGAAAACATAATTGATTTGAGTGTTTGGAGGGCTTCAGTAAGAAGATCAAACTGGTCAGAAATTGTTATTTGCATAACATCAATCTATTTCTTTTCACATATGGATCGATATCTACCCCTCCTGTTAATATTTGGAGCATCGCTGCTCTGCTATCTATTATATATCAGACACTCTTGTAAGGTACAGTCTAGCCCATTCGGGGACCTATGCATATAACACTTTATGCATACTTCTTTTCATTATTTTTGCATATGCTATCGACTTAATTATTGTGTCTGCCCAAAATTCATATGTTGAAATCCTACCCCTCAATGTGATGCTATTAAGAGGTGAGCCCTTTGGGAAGTAATTAGGTCATGAGGGTGAAGTCCTCATGAATGGGATTAGTGCCCTTATTACAGGGCATTAGTAAGCTTGCTTTCTCTCTCTCTGCTTCTGCCAGTGAGGACACGGCGACAGGCTGGCTGTCTGTAAGCCCGAAGCAGCCTCTCACCAGACACTGGATTTTTGGCAGCCTGATGTCGGGCTTCCCAGTCTCCAAAACTGCGTGATGTACATTTCTGTTGTTTAAGCCATCCAGCCTATGGTATTTTGTTATAGCACCCTGAATGAAGAACATGTAATGCCATTATTCTGTTAATGTATGACTCTCTGGATTTCAAAAAATGAAATTCTCTCTGTATTCCAAAATACCCCCCAAATTTAAAATTGTGTCTGGTTTCTACTGGGCACTCAGTAGAAGAATGTTAGATTGTTGATTGAGTTGTAGGCTTTAGCTTTCTTTCCCTTTCCTTAGTCCTCATTCTCACCTTAGCCCTACTCCCAATCCTAGTTTACACGTTTTGGTAATTCATGCCTTCCCATCACCATAGCTCCTGAAGAGCACTTAACCAAAAGGAAAAAAAAATTAATTCCAAACCCTGATAAAATGTGGGATAATTTCTATGAAAACAAGAAGTATATTTTTCTTATGTTTTGAAACTACATATATTGTTTTCAGGTCCACATAGAACATTTGAAGAGCTTCAGCTAGAATTACATTAAGTAAGGTAAAACTGGTGTTAACCTTGTGGGCTAATAAGTTTTAAAAAATGTGAAATCTATTTTAAAATCTGTTATTTATTTATTTTTTTAAGCAAAGATCTTTTCTTATAAAATTTAATGACAATATTGGAAAAAACAAGGAAGACCAATCGTCTTTGATTACAGTCATTGCATTTGATTTTGCAAACATTATTTCAGTAGCCTGTATTCAGTTGAGTGTGGGTTCTTCTAATGTGGTCCAGCCTTTTTATAGTGTGCTTTTAATCTTTAAACAGAGTAACTCAGCTGGGTAATGTTCAAAAACTGTGGGTGAGGCCATTGTGTTGATAAATGTGATTTCTGAGTTTTGAGGCCTCTGTTTCAATCTTTCTTCAAGGAACTCAGGCAAGGAACCCTGAGCTGCCTAAGAGATATTATACATAATATACACATAAAACCTTAACACATATACTATGTTACGTCCTTCAAATATACTTAATTATTACATGAATCGATCCACACAATACATCCCTGACTTTAGCGATATTGAGGTGCATTAACTCACTATATATGTGTGTTTGTGTGTGTATGCACACACACACAATACATCATATATATATATATATATATATATATATATATATACAATACATACAATATATATACGATACATACAATGCATACAATACATATACAAACAATATATATACACACTAACAAAACTTTTCTTGGCAAAATTCTTAATGTCATTATATGGGAGATCTTTTATTAACATAAAAATGCTATACTAGGTGTCATAAACTATTAGAAATGTAAGTAGAGTGGCTATGGCAAGAGGGTTGATATCTTAAATCTTAATTCATCATATTTAAATAAGCAAAGCAAATAAGAAAATATTTATGCACTCAGAATAGAAGCCCTGCATCTAGGTCACTAGGTCATACATACTTGTATGCAGAATCATCCAATTAAAAAAATATATATATATTTATATTTATTTATACACATAAAACTGCAGTCTATGTTCAACATATTAGTACAATTACAGAAAGCAAATTGCAAGTAATTAGCAATTCATTGAAAGTAAATAAACATTTTAAATCAGAAAATAATTTTGAATATATTGTGCTTCTATATACTGCTTTTCTTTTCTGCAATGGAAAACAGTAAATATATGTAACCGGGCATATTTTCCATTGTGTATATTTATGTTTAATATATTAGGCTATGTGAAACTGAATTTACTATATCCTGACATCGTTTGTGTTGTCTTATTCTGTTTTGCATGTTCCTAGCATCACATATTCTTTCCTAGGTCAATTCAGGATCCAGTTGTTCAGAGGGGCAGTGATGCCCAGGTCAACTGTCTCTCAACCAATGAGGCCTCCACAGTTGCCCGAGAGCAATATGCCTGAATGACCCTGGGTAAGGAGCTCTGATTCCTTAGCAGATAGGTCACAGGAGAAGGGGTTATACAAGCAATTTTGTATTTCATTTGTCATCTTAAACACCAACTCGCTAACTAAAGTATCAAGACTAAATGCTTCCTTAGGAATACCTCTGATGAAGTTTATATCAGCAACTTCAAAATCAAACAGAGAGTGGTCAGGGATAGAACAAGTAAGAACTGGCAGGAAAAAAAAATACTTAAGCAAAATAATAGGTTCCATAAAGGACTGAAGGGTTCAATACATATCCAAATATTTTCTCCAGCTCATTTAAAATTTTGTATATATTGTTTGCTTCAAAAGCAAACAAACCGAAATGACAACAATACTAATTTCTTGTTCCCCTTAGAGAGGTTTTCTGTTGCCTCTTTGGAACATTCATATTCTTATAGTCAGTCAGTAGCCAAAGGCATGTTTTACTGACAAGTAGAAAGGCTCCGATATTTTATCTACTGTCTTTGCATTTTCTACATTAAATCAGGCAAACACATGAATTGGAAGTTGTTCTTCAATAAAAAGCTCCAAAGGGGCTAAAACAATATATTACCACGGGGACTTTTGGTACTATTTAGTACTGATTTAAAGAAAGCAAGGCACAGATCAAAATGAATATGTCTGATTATGTCCAGCATGTTTTCCTCAAGCATGCCTTGATGGATTTTTTTTTCTATGTAACTCTGTCTGTCAACATTTTCTAGGTTTAAAAAAGAGTATTATTAAAAGATTAGAAATTCCGTGAGTAAAACAAGATACAATATAGTCAACTAACTTCAGTGTTCTTAAATTTCTGAGTTAGAATTATCAAGGGCCAAAAAAAGTAAAACCAAGTTTGAAACAAGACACTGCTTTCATGAAATATAAACAAAGCACTGTACCTTATTTTATCTTACACCATGTGTACCCTTGAAAACTCACTGGTGAAGTGTCCTGACTGACTCATTCTAAGTAGCAGCAAATTGAGAGAAAGAGGGAGGCCCGTCTCAGAACAAGGGCTGTTGAGCCTTCAGCATTTTCAATCCTCATAGGATCCTTCTAGAGATTAGTTTTACAAAACCTCCGACTCTAACACACACACACACACACACACACACACACACACACACACAGGAATTGACTTTCATTTTGGAATAGAAGGAGTAGTCATTCTTCCTCCAGCAAGTCAGATAGCTACATGAACTATTATGAGGTTACACTCACCCTTGTATCCATACCTGAAGGTCCCAACCTCCTGTGTAGACCAGTGCCTTGTACACAATAATTCCTTAATAAAATTTTGCTTTTAAACTAAAATGAATTCCACTACTTCCTGCCATTTGCATTTTTGTGCCTT